GTGACGTGGGTGGATCCCCCACGAGCTGGCGGCGTGTGGGACACGGAGGTATTACTGGGGAGAAGAAGTGCCATTACTTAAGTCCCATAAAAGCAAGCATCTTGTGATCTTATTAGTGATTTTTAGCTATTCAGTTGGTCCTTTCAAGGCACAACGTAGCGCTCTCGGGAGTTAAGACTGTGAAAGGAGGTGGTGGGGAGATGCTCAGAGCAGTTCCCGCACCCGGGCACAGGAACGTCTTGCAGGACTAGCGTGGCCGAAGCCCTTGTGCGGGTTGGTAGCACAGCCTCTCTCCCATTAATTTTCCTTTTTCACCTTTAGCAAAGATCCTGGGGAAGGTGGGAGAAAGCCTGAGCCGAATTTGCTGCGTTCGCCCGCCCATGGAGCGCTTCACTTTTGTGGGTACGTAGAGGGAAGGGGTCCAGCATCACCTCTGCTTTAGCTCCAGCCCCCAGCCTTCCTCCCAGCCCCCTCTTCTAGACCAGGCACCAGCACCTCTCTTTTCCTTCCCTTCCCCAGATGAAAACGCCAACTTGGGGACGGTGATGAGATACGAGGAGATCGGTGAGTACGCAGCCCATTCTCTACGTCGCTCCGGCTCCTCTGGGCCAGTGCTACGCGGTTCAGGAGCAGCCGCACGACAGATCTGGCAGCAAGTGAAGGATGCTGGATCATCTCACCCCCGTACCAGCTATTTGGGCTCAGGGGTGAAACAGGAGCAGCGCTAAACTGGCCTGAGCCCATTCCTGTTGGCAGACGAGCAGCAGGGAGCCGGCTCCCAGCGCTGGCACAGACCTGCCATGGCATCGTGCCTTGAAAGTCACCCCAGGTCCCATCAAACTTGCCCTCCCGTGGTGCTGTCGCCCACATCCTGGCGCTGCCTGCAGCCCTGCAGAGCTTTGTGCATGGCAGCAGGAGCAATTCCAGCTGCCCGACCAGCCATGGTGCCCCTTTTCCTGAAGCCTTTTAGGGGTTTTTAGACCCACTGGGCTGCCATGGTCTTGGCACCACCGGCCGTCACCCAGGGCTCTGCGTGGGGAGCTTACGGATGGTTTTGAAACCCGTTTCATGGCCTAGCTCACACACAGCCTGGCACAACACCCATCCTAGCACTGGGGCCGTGCAAAGCCCAAAGGATTTGGCCACCAGGAAATGCCAATCAGGGAGGCACCTTCCCACGCAGCCTCCTGTGCCCACCCCTCCGGGTGGGTTTATAGCTTTCTTCTGGTGGCTGTACAAATAAATTAATCTTTGTGGGCCCATCAGAGCATAAAGCTCCTTCTTGCAGCACGTCTTCCTTCCCGAGCAGCAAAGCCAACCCTCAAAGCAAGCCATCAGCAAGCACCAGTCCCAGCCCCAGCCTGGGGGGAGAAAGGGAGGACATGGAAGTCCTCCAAGATGAACAAGGATCAAAAAAAGAAACCAAGCCTCTAGTGCTTCACCATCAGCTTTGCTAAAGCCAACACGGCCATGCCCAGGGCTCTGAGCAGTCCCCTGGGCTCTCCCCGTTGCCCCGTGGCTGGAGCCCCTGCAGCAGATCACGAAGCGGTCGTGGGTACCCACAGCACGGAGAAACGAGTCCCTTCCCCAGGGATACCCCACCCCGGGGCTGGAGCACGGCCGTAGGTGAACAGCACCTAGCAGTGCTGACAACGACCCAGCAGCACGGGAGAGGAGCTGAAATAAATTGGGGGGAGGGTATTTGATGTTTGGCACCAGTAGGGATGCGAGAAGGACCACGGGATCTTTAGTGGGACTCGTTTTGTCAGGGGAGTTCCGTGCAGACGAGGATGCCCCCGAGCAGCGCAGTGGGATGGCGGAGGGGGGTGGTGGTGCCCGCTCAGCCCCGGGTGCTCCCATCTCTGAGCTTCTCTGCTTCTTTTCTTCAGAGCTTCGCATCTTACTGCTCTGCGGCAGTGACCTGCTGGAGTCCTTCTGCATCCCTGGTCTCTGGAACGAGGCGGACGTGAGTCACTGCCGCTGGGCGCCCTTCGTGGTCCTCTTCCCCGGGCTGCCTTCCTCTTCCTCCTCCTCTGCTTCCCACACCCAGAGCTCCTGGGAGCTGCTCAGGTCCCTTGGGATAGGAGGAGCTGTGCCCACCATCCCCACTACCTCCTCCATCCCAACCCTACACGCGGGCAGCCCAAGGGACAGGGTCTTCTGCTCCAGAGTCACCAGCCCTACCCGCCCACCCTCCCCTCCCACAGACCCAAGCCCTGCTCCCACTCACCATTCAGGCAGAGGAGGTCGCCCAGGGTGCAGGCTTAGCCCATCCCGAGGGATTTCCAAAGGCTGTGCTCCC